ATAATATTTTTAAATTTTATATCAATTTGTTCAGTTAATTATTGGCAATATGCCATTTGAAGAGTAAGAACAAATAAATATGTCAAACCAAACTGTGTTGATAAGATATAAAGTAATAAATAAAATGTTAATTTATTTCATTTTATTTATTAAGTTATATTTTAGCAACAATAATACATAATAATATTTTTAAAGCATAATAAGTAATACATTTATAAAATCGTGCCATTTCTTGTATTAATTTCAAGAAATATTTTCAATGACTTTTAAATTTTAAAAATTAAGTAGAGAGTTAAGACCGGGTTTCTAGGAAATACTTATTCAAGCAAATTAAAACAAACAAAAAGAAATTGCAATTTGAAAATGCCCAAAATAGAGACTTAGTGCATTATTTAATTAGCTTTTCACTCACACGATGAAAATGATTTACAAGCGAGATCTTCTAATCGGCTGTCACGGCAACAATTAGCTGAACGTCATGCGAATGACAGCTGGTAATCTGATAGTCTTCCAAGTTAACGCACCCACCTACACACGAGCTCAGACATATGCCTCGATGGGGGATCGTAAAGCCAATTGAATGCGGCTCTGTTAACCATAAATCAGTGTTTATGGCATACCACAGTGGAAAAGTTTTTTGGCTTGCACTAAATTAATTAAGAAAATAAGACATAAAATACAAAAAATACAAAAACGAATAAAATCAAAACATTGCGCCAAATAATTATTTGACTTTCGCCTCTGATAAGCCCAGCAATGAAAACGGGGCGGCAATTTTTCACAAACATCACGCGACCCGCGTTTCGCTGTTTGTGTACCAATTCTCTGTGTTCTCTGCGCCAATAAATGTCTAAATATTTAAACAGATCATAAAAGACAATATATCGCTGATTGCACATGTTTATTTACCAACGCATTGGCAGTAATTGCACCCACTGTCGTGCTGTCGTCACACAGCGTGACTACCCTTGCCCCCTATACCTACCCCGTTCGCCTATCTCTTCTACAAACTCTAACCATCCACGCCTACACCTTTGCGTTTCAATTGACATTTTGTTTGGATTGGTATATTATAGAAAGAATATATTAGTGTTGCATATTTATAAAAATACCACTATTTGTTTTTAAATTTTAATATATTTCATAAATATTTTATTTGAACTCATTCCTTACAGAAGCAAAATATTTTTTTTTTTTTAATCGTAGGGAGGACTCTAAGAATATAATAATTCCTTTAGTATTAGTATTTTACAAAAATAAATAATATTGTATATTGCTTATATATTTTATACATTACATTTACATACAAATAAAATATAATTTATTGCCAATTAAAATTTGAATTATGTAAACAAAGTTAAATACGTTTACTTTGCGGTTTTCCTATTTATTTTTTATTTGTTAAATTATATTTTTTTAGTTATTATGTAAAACTAATTCCTGATTATGTAAAAAAAAATGTTTGAACATATATGTTTGCATTTGAGCACAGTAAATTTTTAGCTATATTTGCAAACCCTTTTTCTAAATTAAATTACTTAATATATTTCGAGATTACTTTTAATTTTTAAAACATTCGTCATCTTATATTTTATATAATAATAATAATAATTAATACAAGTTAAAGCCAACCAATTAATAAAAGTAGAAGTACTACACATTTTTAACAGAAATGTTTATAATCAAATACCCTTTTTGGGTATATCTGCGCCATATGTTAGATTCAAGATCATGTTACATTACATTACAACAACAGCAGCAACAAGAGCAACGCTAGCCGACACGAAGGTGCGCGCACGCGGTCACTCCGCTGATTTGTGCCCTCAAATGTTGCTCCTCTCTCTTTCTCTCTCGTTTCTTCTTCTATTCAAGCGAAGCATATAACGTTTTTATTTTTTTTTTACCGATTGTTTGCTCTGTTCTCTGCTAATTACAGCATTCGCCAACGCAGCCAGCACAGTGGAATATCCAATTAGCATTAACAATAAAAATTTTACAGTATTTGCATTTTAATTTAACAAACAATTTAGCTAAATGATTCAGTTAAATGATTAATATGCACAAAATAAAATAAAAGTTTAATTTTAGTGCAAGTGGCAAACCGCTTGCTATTTGCTATAGTTTATAAATGGTGGTTGTGCATTTAGTCTATAAATATATATTTAATCGATAAATATTATTTAGTACATAAATATATAATACGGGCTATTTGATACTGAAAGTTTACTGTATTATATGGAAATGTTTTCGCAGAGAACTCTAGACTGATTCCTGATCTATTATATTCTTGATTCCGGTCGTTTTTATTTGTGATAGGTTACTTTTTTTTTAGCTAATCCAGATTCTCTTTAACTTTAGATCAATTTTTCTTTCACCTTCAGCCAGATGGTGGACTCCGATACTAGACTAATGAGCAAATAATAATCTTATTGTAATCTCCGTAATCTCCGTGTTGCTTTGATACGGGCAACATTTCATTTTTAAAAGTGAAAAGTTTATTCTATTCCACGAATAATTTAAAATTTTGTATAAACAACTGTTATATTTACACTAAACATTGTTGTCATAGACATACTCAGCCGACTGTATTAAAAATTCGTACTCAAGCAGATATTGTTATAGCATATACACACGATTGTACATAGTCGTTAATATACGTCTTCCATAAATATTATATATTATATA